TGAAACAAAAATTAATATACATACCTCATTTGAGATATTTTGACAAATTGTCGCCATGGCGATGGTAAGGTAAAACAATGTCAACATGGTAGTGGTTTTATTCATAAATAAGAGTGTGAGTCTTTTGTCACTTATCGATAATAATATGTCGTACAAGTTATGGACGAAAAAAACGATACTCACGAAGAAGAAGTTCAACAACTGACGTGAAAAGCAACAATTGAGTGTTTTACAACTGGCACTGAGTAATTCAAAAAGGTTTAAAATCTCTTCTAGACGTTTTATTTTATTGTATCGATTATTCAACCCCGAAGAAGTGCAATAAATAAAAAGAGATTTCTTCAAAGCAACAAATCTCAATTGAAGATTCGTCAATGTTAGTATAAACGGCCAAACAAAGCCAATCAGCATGCACACCAAATATAAGATGTGGATGTTATGATCAAGGCCACAATCGATGTAATGTATAATACGTACTGCGAATTGGAGTAGGAACGTGCCAATTAAAATATATCGATAAAAATAATCGATTTCATCGATTTTAGCCGCATTCAGTCTAGAAAACCTTTTATCAAGTTCCATGTATTGTGAGTTCAATCTCTGAAAACTACCACGATTTATACATTCGTACAGGAATAAATATATTATTATTATGTATTCTGAATACATGTATACTGTGACGAAAATCGCGTACACGTGACCTTTTTCTGCCATTGCCAAGGTCCAAGCGATTCCCCATTTGTACGTGTAAATCCCTATCGCCAATTGTATCGACAATGCCAGTATTAAAGAGATCTTTTTGATTTTAAATGTCCTGGTTTCGAAATTCGGGAACGCCCCGATTAATGTCGAAATCTTGAAGGCTTCTTTGAGCGTTCGCTGCTCCATTCCTCTTCGAACTTGTTAAGACTTCTGCGAATTTTCTTCAACTTAATGTCTAGTTGTTGCTCGAACAGGTTTGGCAAGTGGCAATCAAGAGTTGATTCGTATATTTTTCATATTTGTAGAGAAGAATGGAAATGCTGTATGGTTGGCTGTGGACCTCAGTTGTCATTGCCATTATATTTCATTATCTTTTCTTTTGCGTCGCCATTCGCTGTTATACGAACCGTATAATTTCTGATATGAAAATTAGATCGATACTTTCTCAACTGATATGTAATACGCAATAAAATAATGAAACTGTATCTCCATAAGCGGATCTATATTATTAAAGAAAGAATGCGTTTCTTTCAGCTAGCTTTAGGTTAATTGTCGTCAATTGTTGAATAACAATTAGGTTTTTTCTCATGTCAATTTATTAACATCCGCCTAATATATATATATATATAATATATATATATATATTATAATATATATATATATATATATATATATATATATATAATATATATATATATATAATACTTCAATACTTCTATATTTTAATTTTTTGTTCACTTCTTCTAATTTATTTATCATCATATAACATACATATTTTTTTCTTATACTTTTTTTTCCGAGGGAGACTCAATAGCACGTATGGAGAGCGTCCTACGGGGGACGCATGTGGGGATGGTCGGTGAAAATTCCTTGAAAGCTCCTCCCGGCTAAGTCCGATGGACTCGCTGACCAACAATGAGAGGGGACCTCCAGACTTGCTGGAGGGAGGGGACCTCCAGACTTGCTGGAGGTAGGGGCCCACCAGACTTTCTGGAAGGTGTGACGTAGGATTGAACGTCCTACTCACATATCTTTAGTTCACCATACACTACAAATATCCATGGATCTTCCTAAGGTAAAACGCTCATTATCCGGAGGTAAACTAGTCTCCCGTTCGGGTTTCCGGGTGGGGACTGTTTCAGGGGATTCATGGCGCAAGTTGAAAAATAGGGATTTGAATATTGGTACGTGGAACGTAAGGAGTTTAACAGGGGGGCTAAAATCGGTCGCGAATGAGATCAATTGGTACAATTAGGATGTCGTGGCTCTGCAAGAGGTTCGCTGGCCAGGGGAGGGCTCGATGAGGGAAGGGAAGTACACTATTTGGTACGGAGGAAGCGGGAATCATTGTTTACCCAAACAATGACCCAAACAACCCGGGTTTCTAATTAGGAATAGATTGCTATCCGCTTTGAGGGACGTACAATTCTTTACTGATAGAATTTCGGTAGCTATATTTCAGGAACGTTGGTTTGAAATAGCATTAATAAACATACATTGTCATTAAACAAACATTGTGCATTAGTTTGAACATCGTAATGAAAAAGTTCTCAATTATGATTACTGTTTTTCGATATATTAGAAGTTTAATTGCATCAATAAATAAGTCATGATTTTTAAAATATTTAAGAAAACAAGAGATAGATTTCTCTACAATTTAGAAATAAGTTACTGTTCTAATTATTTAATAAACATTACTGCCTGTTAAGTTAACCGATTATTAATTTATGCATACAAACATAAGCATACATATTTAATAATCGTCAAGTTATTTTAAAAATTAATAAATTTCTAAATTTTAATATAGGTTCACAGCGTTGAACATTGTACCCTGCATCTTGTACTTCGACCTCAGTGTTGTCGCAGTTTTGTACCGATGAACTTCGTAATAATTGAGCTCTTTAATATAAAAAATTAACTGAATCTAAAAATGAATAATGAGTTTTAACTATTCAAGGAAGTGATGGAAAATGTACGCTGCAATTTAGCAATATATATAAATTATTAAACAGATATCGCTGTTTCTTAAATTAATTTTTTTTTTCCTTAAATTTTTTTTTTTGTTCTTCCCGGCCATAATGGTAATGACAACAAGTGAATGTGAGGTCGATTGCAAAATATAATGTCATGAAAGGCATGAGGGGGATCAGTGCCCAGCGGTACCTCACTCGGCGTGATATCTACATTAGACGAGGAGGTCCCTCATCCAGCTCCTCTTCAGTCTCTACAGACGTTACCTGGCATATTCGTAGTGGCCATGTCATTTATAAGTGTATTAGGATGTCCTTGTAAGTTGTCATGGAATCGTTTGTAATGAGTTCGTATGTGTTCGTTAACAGTCGGCATATGGAGGTCAGTATGTAAGGTTATGTTGCTAACGTACCAAGGTGCTTTTGTAATTGTTCTGAATGTTTTTGCTTGAAAGATTTGAAGTTTGTTTAAGTGAGTCTTTTTAACAGTTCTAAATATCTGTGATGCGTAAGTCCAAATAGGTTTTAGTAAGTAATTGTATGTGTTCAATTTCTGTCTAAGTTTCAGTTTTGAATGTTTCGAAAGAAGTTAATTCAAAGTTCTTAATATTTGATTTAGCGTTCTTCGTTTCTCATTATATGTGGCACCCACGTCATTTTTCTGTCAAATGTCAGACCAAGGTAGTGAACGGTGTCTGTCTGTGGAATTTGAGAATTGTCAAGGAAAACTAGAGGGGATTAACCAATTATTAATTTATTTAGTACTTGGTATGAACATAAATCTTAATAATTGTTCTATTATGTTAAAAAATAAATAAGGTTCTAAATTTTAACATAGGCTCACTCTTTGAACATTGGGCCCTATCTTCTGCTTTGACCTCAGTCTAGTCACAATTCTGTACCGACCCACTTCGCAATATTAAGTTTGACTTTAATTAATTTATTCAGGTTTTTATTTAATAAAAAGGAATTGCTCGAAAACTGTTCAAGATAATTAAATTCTATTTACACCATCTTAAAGTAGACGAAATTCTCTTTGATAAAACAGTGATTAAATTTACTAAGGTCAATGATAATAAAGACTTTCAGGAGATCTAATATGGCCGCTGTTCAGAGATATGCTTTCTGTGTATTGGTACAGTAACAACATCAGTACAGCGGTCATATTAGAGCTCCTAATAGCCCCTTATATCATTGATCTTAGTAAATTTAATAAGTGTTATCTAAAAATAACTGTTCTCTATTTTAAGATGGTGTACTTAGAATTTAATAATCTTGAATAATTTTTGAGAAATCCCTTCTCATTTAATAAAAAACGTGACTATCTTAAAGAAGACATACAAATATTCTCTACTCCTCTTCAATTGGCCTATGCATCAAATTAACTTTTGAGTTTAAAATTTTGACTACCAACATCCTCAAGAGTTTGTCCATTAAAAACCGAAACATCCTGTACATTCTTGTAAAAATTCCTTCGGTTGATATACACTAAGTTATAATAAATGGAAAAAAATCAACTTGTCTTTTTCGAAATTTTATTTATAATAAGGATTCAGAATTTTTGTTTTAGCTATTTATTTATTGTAAGATATTTACAACTGTATTACAATATAAATACATCAAGTAAATGTGTACACAAGAATATAATCATTTCAAAACGCTTGTTGAGAAACTACTCACAGGTAGCACTCTAATAATATGACTATGCAAGGAGATCACGAGGCCATCTTCGTTTCAGACGTCTCGGAGGGTTATCAGTAATCAAAGAGGAAGCAAGGTCAGAAACGAGAGGATTCGGATGGTTATGAAGTTTATTATGAAAGGATAGGTATCTGGATTAGGCCAGATCGGAAACATTAAGGTCATTGTGGATTATTTTATTTGTGTCAAAGTAGGGAGCATTGAGGATTTTACGAAGGATTTTGGATTGTAAGGATTGGATATGAGACGAATTTGATGGTTTAGTGGAGCCCCATAGCTCAACTCCGTAAATCCAAATAGGTCTTAGTCTAGTCATGTATATTAGTCTTTTGTAATTAATTGAAAGTTTAGATTGTTTGTCTAGTAAGTGTTGGAGTAAGCGGAAACGTCGAGCAGTTTCTTGTTTCAGTCTTGTTTGTATGAGGGTTCAGAAAGGCTAAAAACAAAATTTAAAAAAAAAAGTATATATTTGTATATACAATGTACTGCATATATACACACATACATATATATTTATAAATATATTTTGGAGCAGTGCTTGATCGACTTTTACTGAAATATAATGACTACTCTGTTTCTCAAAAAAAAACACACTGGTCATTTATGAAAATATATTGCTTCCAAATCCTACATTGGGGTAGTAGTGAGTGCAGTTGGATAGGTACTGTTGGGGATAGAATTTGAATAAATGAAATGGTTCACTGAAGTTGTAGGCTGCTCAAACTGTACCAAAATCACAAGGTAGGTTGTTACTGCTGCAACCATCTGAAATTAAAAAAAAAAAGAAGATATAATATAACCATTAGGTATTATTTCTCAAGAGTTCGTTTCTAAAAACAAAATTTTAAAATTTGTCTAGAAATTACTTATTTACGAACTTATTTCACTCATTTTAGCAAAATAATATTTTAATTTTCATTACAAAAAAAAAAATATTAAATGATACATAAAAAGCTGACACATTAGTTTGGTTGAAACAGGAATTTTTATTTATACTTTATTGCACACCAGATAAACAAGTATTTTAATTCATGCCTAAACTTCTAGAATATATGAGTTAATTATGTCCCATATTATAGCATAGAAAATTCGAATTATCAGTATAGCATAAAAATAGAATTATTTTGACATGTGTGATAAATACTGCTGAATACTTTCAGTGCTCATAACACGCCCTGATGATGACCAACATGTTTGGGTTGAAACGTCGGCACTAATAAAACTTTATAATGATTGCATCCTGAATATTTTTCACCCATGATATATAGTCGACTAACTTCTTCAAATGATTTTTTTTGTCGCTCTCAGATCACGGTGCGCCGCGAAATATTTTTGTTATTTCTGATACTTACCGAGTGGACCAACGTGTAGTTGATGGGAAAGAAACCGCAGGCTGTGAATTGGACCTCTCTCTTCATGGCGAAGTGGAGCTTAACCTTTTTCTGAAACATGGAAAACGGACTAAAACTATTTTAATTGATACAGAAACAAAGGAATTATTTATCTTCAAACTTCATTTTACTACTAGTGATTTTTTTCTCAATTTTAATAAAATAATAATTGTGTATTGATGGTTGAATGCACTAGCGGATCCAGGATTTAATTTTTGGGGAGGGGCTTCAGCCCGAAAGATTTTTTTTATAACGATAATTAATTTGAAAAAAAAGGAAAGAAATTAACTACCTATATGAAATAGTGTTTAAGTGGTTCTTGAAGTCTTATTAAATATAATTACCCGAAGAAGAATACTTTAAGAGATAGTATTTAATACTTTTTTCTGTAAGACATGGTTATGTTTTACCATTTTGGGGAGGGCTTCAGCCCGAAAGCCCCCCCTCCCTCCCCGTAGATCCGCCTGTGGTTGAATGTAGAGAATAATTGAAGAGAAAAATGGTTGGGGTGATCAGACAAAAAAAAAAAGAAAAAAAAGGTAAAACTAAATAATTATATTTTTATTTTTGCCGACGTATCGGCCCAAAGTTCAGGCCTTCACCATGGCTAAGAAAAAACATGATAACAATAGCTATGAGAAACTATAAACATTGAATAATAAAGAATTCAAATTAAAAAAGGTGGAAGGTATAGACTAAAAAATAAAGTTAGAATAATCTTAGCGCCCTTTCTCAATCTCTGCTAGCTTTTAATACCAGTGATGTGGTTGAGGAAGAAGCGCAGAGATCTCTTGAAGCCTCGCTTTAAATATGGTTCGGAGTTCCCATGGCCGACTGTAAATAGTATAAAAGGTATGCCTGCGTCTAAGATGTTTATTTTCATTACTTTTTTTTTTTAAAGATAATTTTAATTCTATTTTATTCATTTATTTTTATTCTATTATTACTATTATTTATATTTTTCTTCCTTCACTATGATATTTTATTTTGTTCTTATTTAGCTTTATATTATTTTAAAATTATCTTATCTATTTATATATTTTTTTTTGAATTTGCAAATATGGTGTGAATGTGCTCTCAGAACTCTATAAGTAAAATAAAGTAGGTAGAATATATAATAGTTACAGAGAACTAAGAAATTAATAATAACGCCAACAAAGTAGAAACAAATGAAATAAACATAATCAAAATACAGTATTTATATATGAGATATATCATTCCACTACTTTTCGTTGTTAATTCATTTTTCATTTCTTATGTTACCTTATTTTGATTATGTTTATTTCTTTAGTCCCTGTTTTGTTGCAGTTGTTATTTATTTCTTAGTTCTTTGTTACTGTAATATATCCTACATACTTTATTTTACTTTAATGATCACTCTATTTTAATCCACACATAGATTATTACAGTAAGGCTCGAAATCAGTTTTGTACCAAATATAAGCTCCTTTCATGCTCAAACACCATGAATCGGGTACCGTTGGATTCAAAATTTCACAGGGGATTAGCGAATCGTACTCTACAATTCTGTTTTTCTTTCTAAAATAATTTTTTTTTTTTTTAGCTTATTTATTGAAAAATATTACAATCCGTCTCAAGGACATGTATAATAGTGTTCACAGATCACATTCACACTCTATGTACAATAAATAAAATAAACCTAAAATAAATTAAAGTCGATATAAACATTTTGCTAGGCTTAAATACTGGAACGGTGGTAAGTTAGATCGATTGTAAGTAGATCGATACGGGACAAATTCGGCTTTGAAGATTTTGATGCGTACACCAAGTCTCTGATAATTAATACGTTTTTAAGCAAAAAAACGTACTATTTTCGATATAACACAATTCAAACTGTTCGCATCCACACAACCTTACGTTGATTGTAGTAGTGCCATGGAATACGTGTCTCATTTCTTCAACTTGAGGTTCTTGTGATCGAGAGAGGAAGATTTTATATGGTCTATCAAAGGTGTTTTTTTCGGTAAGCCGAAAAATAGTAAGAAGAAAAATAGTTCAATCACCACGAAAATTCAGGCAAAAATGTTATGATAGAAAAGAAACTTCATTTGGCAATAACTCAAAAATTATACTCTTTTTCCTTGGTTATGTCAATGATTATTAAGAGATTACTGAATTCCCTACAAAAGGAAATAAAATTATCAAAATTGGACAATGTTTAGCAAAGATTCAGTTTATTGAAACATCTGTAATATAATCGGTGATGGGGCTCAACTCAGGCTTGAGTTGACCTTATCCTCTAGAGCTTACAACTAAATTAATAAAACATCTAATTTATGTGAGTTGTTGCCAACGTTTTGAATTTTGGTTGGTAGGAAGTTGTTGAAAAGAGGGTATGCTAATTGTTGACACTTTTCGAAAAATGATTTTTTTCGTTATGCGAGAAATTCTTTTACTGTCGATAAATTTAGAGCTCCGTGTATATCCAGTGTTTTAATTATCTGCATCGTGATTCTTCTTACTATTTTTCTGTATAGACCTACCAAAAAGTGATGAAGTAGCCTCCTTTCGCCTGGCCACTGGTCATTGGTCACGACTATCTGCTATGTCATCTACACAAGATAGGCGTGGCTGAGGATCCTAGGTGTACATTGTGTGAACAAGTGGAAATGGATGCAGACCACCTAAACGAATGTCCTGCTTTGACGGATATTAGGAATAAAACATATGTAAATGATTATTTAAAAAAAATCAAACTTATATTGGGAAGCAAGATGTCGGTTGGTCGAATGACCAGTGACTATGGCATAGGAAAAAAACAAACTATTGTTCCATTTTGGAAATATTGTAATCTTTTCCCAGTTGCTTTGCTGACATGATCAAACAGAGGTGCACCGTACAACAGAGCCGGCCGTATTATGCTTGTATAGATGAGGGGCTTCAGGCTTAAAGATTGGTTTGTTGTCTTAATTAAATTTTGGAGTCTGAACGTCTTATATCTTACTGTTTTAATTTTGATGTCAAAATGTTTAGTAAATTTTAAATGTCTGTCGAAGTGAATACCAAGATATGTTAAGACATTCGACAATTTAATACTGTTGTTGATTATTTTGAATTCATTTGGCGTTTTGTTTTTTCCTTTTTGATATGAAAATATAATTCCTTGTTGGTTTTTTTTTCTTTTTTTTCATATCATCTTTTATTTATTTTTCACTTGGAGCCTTTTCTTTGTTTTCATAGTAGTCCTTTTACTGCTTAAAAGCATTGTAAGGTGTATTTTTTGATTTTTTTTCGTTTATGAATATTTTGTTTTTCATCTGTAACAGGTGATGGGGCTCACCTCAGGCTTGAGTTGACCCTATCCTCTAGAGTTTACAACTAAATTAATAAAACCTATATCTCATGAGATTCGTTGCCAACGTTTTGGAATTTGGGCTGGTAATAATTCGTTGAAAAGAGGAATGCCAATCGTTTTGCCAATTGTTGGGATTTTTCGAAAAATAATTTTTTTCGTTTTGCCAGATATTCGTTTATAGTTGATAAATTTAGTGTTGCTTGAATATCCAATGTCTTCTTTCTCTGCAGCGTGGTTCCTCTTACAACTTTTCTAATTATTCCATTTTGAAAATTATTCCGTTTGTTGGTTTCGATCATTAATGAAGTTTTAAATTAATTTTTGTTTCCTTTGAGGATTACATTTATCGAGAAAGTAGCATTTGTTATATGTTGCATTATTTTACTGTCTTATAATTTGGCATTTGAACATTTAACAGTATACTGTGCGAATTTTTCTACTTTAAGTTTATTTTAACTACATCTTTTAGTCTATACCTTTCACCTTTTTGATTTTAATTCTGTATTATTCAATGTTTATAGTTTCTCATACCTATTGTTATCTGTTTTTTTTTCTTAGCCTTAAAAATAGAAATAATAATTTTTTTTTTTTACTGATCATCCTAACCATTCTTCTCTCCAATTAATAAGATAATAACTGAATAAATTTATCTTACGTTGGTGGAGATGTCATTATTCTTGTCTTCAATCATTATCTGGTATAGCAATTCATTAAACTCTTCCACCTACAATACCAAATTAAATATTTTTATTTTAATAAATATATAATTAAGAGCAGATAGATCATAAATAACATAAAGTAATATGGATGTAAATGGGCAATTCCAAACTGCAAAGCTTCGAATCTCTTACATACAAGTAGACAGAAACCCTTCAATGTTTCGGCCATTCCGGCATCTTCAGGGTAGACAAAAAATAACGTAAGGCTTACAGCTCCCACAATAACGTTATAGTCCCCTCTTATTTGATAAAAATAAAAATTAATTAGATTTATGTTATGTCATTAGTAAATTTTTCCCTTTCGCTACTCTAAGATGGCGACCGGTCTGTAATATATTTTCTATAAAACCCTTCAATTTGGGTATGCGGTTCTAATGTATCTCAGTATTTTTCTATTGTTTGTATTACATCTTTCCAGTTGATATTGGTAAATAAATTTTCTACATCAAAACAGGCTAAACAATATTTACCTATTGTCTAATTTGTTTATTCTTTCAAGCATTTGCTCCACCTCTATTGAGTTTTTTACATCAACGTTTTTTTTATTTTTTTATTTCTTAATGACAACTGTATTACATAAATACATCAAGTAAATTTGGACATAATAGATATAATGACATGAATACACTTGCTGAGTAACTACCCAATGGTAGCACTCTAATGATATGACTATATTAGGAGATCACGGGGCCATCTTCTTTTCAGACGCCTCGGAGGATTATCTGGAATTGAAGAGGAAGCAAGGCTAGAAACAAGAGGATTTGAATGGTTATGAAGTTTACTATGGAAAGATAGCTATCTGGATTAGGCCAGATCGGAAACATTGAGGATTTTACGAAGGATTTTAGATTGTAAGGATTGGATGCGAGAGGAATTCGATGGTTTAGTGGAGCCCCATAGCTCAACTCCGTAAGTCAAGATAGGTCTTATTATAGTCAAGTATATGAGTCTTTTATAATTAATGGGAAGTTTAGAGCGTTTGTCTAGTAAGTGCTGAAGTAATCGGAAACGTCGAGC